TCTATCTATCTATCTATCTATCTATCTATCTATCTATCTATCTATCTATCTATCTATCTATCTATCTATCTATCTATCTATCTATCTATCTATCTCAGTGCACATGGATAATCTGGGAATGCTTGTGTGTTAATGCAAGGGTTGGGTAAACAGCAGGACTCCCTCTTGTTGGCCTACACTACAGTCCAACATAAAGTTTTGTGAACACAAGCAGTGCTATAAACTAGTAGTACTTGTCCATTTTAACTATAACTCTTTTTCTTAGATTATATACCTGTGTTTAAAAAGAGCAAACAACAACAACAACAACAAAAACATGCTGTATTGTATTTTAATGTGTGTCCTCATTGTAACCTCGATTTTTGTCCTTTCCCATTTTGAGGACTCTTCCTTATCAAAGTTGACTTCCAACGAATACATGCAATTGGTATGTATGAGGCAGTGTTTTTTCCCCACATTTTTAGAGCCATTTGCACAGCTTGTGCAATAGTTGCTATCTGTGCCCTTTGGTGCTTTGCTTTTTTTTTTCCTCTCTTTTTTTTCTGCTGCTTCTTCCAGCACGTAAAGCAAAGCTTTACCATATTCTTTGTGTTAAAAAGCTGGACATACTCATTATTAATGTCAGGAAAAAAAGTTATAAAATCAGTCTGTAAGATGACTTGCTGCGTGTGTTAAGTTCAGTTCTGTTGGAGGCGTTTTTTTGTAAGCAGCAAGCTGCATTGCATAATCATAGGTTTCCATTAAACAGGATTGATGAACAGTCAAGATGAACCATTATGCAGCTGTTCTTCATCCTGGACTAGTTTTATGCATTTTATCGAGGCGTGCAGGTCAACAACATGGAGGACTTAGATTTGCATGGGGGAAGCCACCTTACTGACAGTTTCCCATCCACCTCCCCCGCCCCAAACTCCCACCTCGTGTCTCCCTTCCTTTTACTCCTCCTCTCTCCCTGCTATCCAGAAGTGTCTGCATCAGTTGTGCCACAACTGTAGCCAAATTGCTTTTTTTTCCCCAGCTTGTCATATTTGTCTTTGTTTTTTCCAGCAATAACTTCATCTTAATGCGAGGAGATGATGTTAAAATATGTTGATCTGTACTTATTTGCGCCGGCCAGCCTCAGCTTTGTCCGTTTTCGCGTCAGCATCCTTCATTTGATCTCTTGTCTGTTGTTCTATCCCCAGATTCCAATAATATCTGCAGATCATCTGAGTAGTCACAAGTACTTGACTCAGATGTAGTTCCTCTCAAGAACAGTGAGTTCCTATTTCAACCCTCACATTTTCTCTATTCATCACAAGTTGTTTGGTTTTTTTTCTCCATTTGTGTGACTCATATTATCTGCTTCAAGTTTCCCTTGAATTTGTATGCGCACAGAGCTTCTAACCACACTTTACCATCAGTTTGATTTAAGCTAAATCCACCGTTTCTTGCAGATCAAATGAATGTGTGCTGGCACCGTCCAAGCCAAAAAAAAAAGAGTTCAGCCTTTATGTACATAACCTTCAGAATGTCAAGCAGTGGGACAAGGAGGGTCTGCCACGTCTCATCACACGTGAAAACATCAAGGGTACAACACATGATCTGTGCCATCTTCCCACATATCAATGTCAAGAAGAATTTGCTGTCAAATTCAACATCCAGCTGAGAGAAGAGCATATCTTGTTGCCAGGGTCGGCGTGTCTCTCTCCCCCCCTCGGCGGGGGAAACGTTCACATGATACCTCTGTGTCGGATTGAATCATAGCACTCAGTTTCTTCTAGTTATTATTATTATTACCGCATGCACAGAAGGTCAACAGCGTTGTTACATGAGACGACATCAAGTGCTGGTACAATAGTAGACCAAGATTTCCTTTCCTTTTTTATTTGTTCTGCTTTATTATTATTATTATTATTTTTCTTTTTTTTTAATTGATAGCCATATTTCAGCGTTTACAAGAGTAATGCAAACATGCACCTTGAATTTGAATTGAAATCTGAAAGGCACAATGATTTTAACAGGATTTTATTCGCCAAATGAATTAGGCATGTACAGTATTGTGTTTTTACAGCTACTAGTGAAACTAGATGTTGACATGAGGGTCTTGGACATATGAATGTTCTGGGTAAACCAACATACCTGTGTACCTTGAAAGCACAGCCAGGCTAGCTTTTCTCACCTCGTTATGTGCTATAAAGGCCATACAGCTAAAACCAGAGTGTTATCTCAGCAGTGTTATTTGTTTACCGAAGGTAAAAGTTTTGTATGGCTCTTTTTTTTTCTTTTTTTGTATTGTTTTGTTTTTAAAAATCTCCATTGTGAGTGTTTTTTAACTTTTTCTTTTCTCAAATTAATCAGTTTTAGAAGTGGGTTTCTTGCCAAATCAATTTGTTTGGTATTTGATGGTTTTTTTGTTCCTTTTTGTTTGTTTAGAATCAGTAATGGAGGGTTTTTCTAAAGTTTGTCATAACTCTTTTTCATAGACTAGTGTTGTTTTTCCTTCTTGGAATTAAGTCGCTGGACAAGTCCATTGACTCTAAAGCCTGGCAAAGTAGAGGGTGTAGCTTCAATTGACATTGCGTTACCGTGTTTCCCCCTCTTGTAAAGAGGAGCAGCTCTTAAACTGTGTCTCCCAAGAAGCACTGTTGAGCCATGTGTGGATGCGAACTTTAAACAACAAGCCCAAAGGTCTAGTAGGTCATTTAAACCACATGTGCACTTGAACGATTATTTGTCCAGTCGCCATATTTTAATTTCACATCCCATCCCAAGTGAACTTTCATTTTTGATTTTCTGAGGAAGTACAACACGTTCAAACGTTTGCCTTGTATCTCATGCAAAAACACAAAGGTTTTCATCCACGCATAGATCTGACTATGGAAACCAAAGCACAGTTTGTTTTTTTTCTCTCAAACTTATCCACAGTGGGTGAATACAGAGACATCTCTGCAGAGGCTGAAACAATTAAGGAAAAAGGTTTATCATCTTTCATTCATGTGTCTTGATTTATGTTTTTCACAGCAGCGTGTCTTTACCGATTGTAATGTACCTAACAAAGCCTTAGATTACAGTTAATGGGTCCTCGCCCAATCAAATGTACTCTCAATCACCGTGCAGGTAAAGAACACCAATGATGTTTTATAGTTCTCTCACATGCCGCTTATGATCTTTTTTTTTCTCTCTCTCGCTCTGTAACAATAACAATTACTCTCTTAAATTTCATTGAACTTATGTGTTATGTACTACTTAAGAATTTGAATCTATTTGATGTATGTAGTTTTAGATTATTTTTCTTTTTTTTTGTTGTTTTGTTTTTGCCTTACTATATATTACTTGACAACATTGATATAGCCGTTGTAGATGTTGAGGTAGAATGACATTCATAACTTTTTTTCAAACCATATAAATGATAATGTGTTAGTTTTAAATATTCACTTCATTCATATAGCTGGATGTCTTTTTCAGTTGTGTTACATTGTCAGTTAATTTTTTGTTGTTGTTGTTGATGAGAAGACTTTTTGATACGAGGAACGAGATCAATTGATTTGCTGCACGGCAGCGGTCTCTGAGTTTAACAAGAAAAAAACAACAAAAAAATCAAACACACACACACACACAAAAACTATTTTAACCAACTTAAATTTTTCCTTGTAACATGTCGAGATCATGTTTGAAAATACTATATTGTACTGAAATTCAGACTGTCCATGTTTTAGAGTAAAAATTATTTTCTACTGTATCCATTTCAAAGAGATATGTAATTTTGTTTTTGTTTGAATATTTCTTAAGTTTGCCCTGAATGTCAGGCCAAAACGAGCATTGAGATTTGACGGGTGTTCGGATGTTCGATAGATAGCGAGATTAGGAGCGAGGAAGCAGAGGCGTCTGTTTTCCCGAGGAATCAGAAATGCTGCAGATTATGAGTTCGAACCTAAGGGACGAAGGTTGTCTTTTTGCACTTCTGTATATAGTCAAATGAACAGAGAAAAAAATGTGTATCATATTGAGATATTATTTTGAATAAAAAAAGATCTATAATTATAAGGAATTTTGTTAGATTAATTTAAATTCTTAAATTAGAAGACCAGCTAAAAGAAAAAAAAATGCTTGCAAAGAAGGGCACTAGTTTCTTGGCCAATGCATTCAGAGAAAGCTATGCGCTTTTTGTCTTATTTTATAAGTGGCTAGTATTGCCAGGGAATGTTGTAGGGGAGTAGATATCCCCATATCATGCTAACTCCACCCCTCTTGTAGGATGACATATCCAGTAACATTCATATACCATTTGTTGGACTTGGTCACGCAGTATTGCTGCTCCCATGGTACAGCTGATACATGAACCTGTCAAAAATGTGTATTCTATTATAGTTTGATTTGACTGCATGTAAAAGTACAAACACGTAAACAAAAGATAGATATGTAAGGTAATAAGATAACACCTTCAGACTACAGAATACACAACATTTGTTCTTTGTTTTTCAAATTATCCATGCAGTAGATAACATCCACAGTGGGAAGAAGTGATACTTTAGAACAAGTCATCTTACTCTTGTGTGATTAAAATAAAATATTGTCCAAGCAAACTTGTTATTTAAAGAATGAGAAAACATTAGCACTCATCCACCCCCTGGATACATTCTCATAGCCGTATAATTACAGTCCACGCTGACTCACGGGGCAGTTGTTCCTGCTCTTATAGCTGTGCACTCAGCAGGTGAAGGCTCATCACACCAAATGCTTATTTGGCAAATTTAGTCTTTAAAAAAATGAATGTAACAGTCGCCAGACAACATCAGATGTGTTTCTGACTCGAGGCTGCTTTGTATAGTTGCTACAGAACCAAAGCACCATTTTCTCCAAACCACACGTTCAGTCTTCAGGCTGCAACCGAGGTCTCGCTTCCCTGCTGGGCGCACATGTACGCTTTGACTGCTTTTTACTTGTAAGTGCACCCACCCAGTTATGTATTTGCTAACAGTTGCCACACAATAATGTACTATTCTGTCTTCATATTTGTTTATGCACATTTTATTGTTAATTGACTCTTGCTGTATGGATGAAAAAAAAATCTGAATAAAACAATATTTGATTTGCTCACGCAACCCTCTGTGTGGTTCTCTGCATCGATGTGAGCGAATGCCACAAAGGTGGAAATTTCAAGTGATGCAAAATCAAATCAACTCATCATCTGATTTCACTTTTAGCAGGGATTTCTTGGGTGAAGAGGACAGCTTATAGTCATTACAGCTGTCTTCTTCTCAAGGGTTCAGGCAATCAAGATAACAATTCTGGAGCAGCTCCGTGGAGAGCAATATATGACATGTTGAAGGTTGCATTAATTATGCTCAAGGCGATTTTCATGAGATCGCGTGTATTATCTGGGTCAGAAATGATAGTGGTGCTTTTGAATGACACCTATATAATCTCACATAAAGACCTGTGCTTCCTAGTGCATGTAGTTCCCGAGCACCTAACAGGAAGATGTTTGCACACTTTATAATTTAAATCTCACTATAGTTAGCCCTGCTGTGTTCCACATGTCAGATACCTTGCAGCTAACACAGAGCTGGTGCACAGCTTTCCTGCTTCCTCTTGACTTTCAAGAAGTAGCCTGTATTTGGACAGGTTTAAAAGCAAATGGGGGAAGTTGGATGTGGATAGGTTCCATGAGCTCCCTCTATCTATCAATGGTGGACTTGTAGTAGCCCCTCAGCCACTGATGCGGTCAGAGGTTCCAACTCTGGGCTCGCAGACACCTTATTGGTGCATAAGAGTTATCAGTTTTTTGGTTTCTGTGCAAATTATCCAGGAAACCCCACTAAGACCTGCACTACTGTAGCCAGCATGTAAGTCAGTATTCCCTGAATTTGTCCAAGGGTCTAACTTGTGGTCATTGTTTACTCAGAAGCAGACAGCAGGAGGAATTGGTATCAACAGGAGCCCAAAACAGTTTCACATTACATAAGTTACCCAACAGAGAGCGAGATGGGTTTTTTATGTAACTGTGGACAGGGTTTCTATCTGAACATATGCGTCTTATTTATGTTGATTTAGGCTTTAAAAACAGTGTTGTGTGATTTGTACTTCCTATGACCCAGGGGCGATTCTAGGATCAGAGCTTTGGGGGTGCTGAGCACTGCCCAGCCAGGCAAGATAAACTTTACTCGTCACGATGAGACTTCTTCCCTGTCTCTGTCAGTCCCTGCATGCTTAAATGTCTCCAGTTGTCCTGAGTTCTCTCTGACTGTCTCCTTGGTGCATTTAAAACCCTGTTCCTCCCTGTCCTCATCCTCCGTTGTCTTCGTTTCCGTTATCAGTCATCATAATTTTACCATCTCTGTGCAAGTCTGCAAATTTCTTTATTAAATCATAAGATTCTTAAATTCATCAAGTCTCTCTGTGCCTGGGTCCTCGTCACAAAACATGACATCACTGTTTTGTACATTTTAACACAATTGAATCCCCACATTTGTAAAAGAAAAGCAAAACACTTTTTTAAAAGTCTGTAACAAAACCATCAAATCTGATCAAGGTTATTTAAATGCTGCAAATGAAGAATGGATTAGAATTAAAAAAAGAAATACATATCCTAACCTTAATTACTGGGGGAAAATTATGCTCATAGTAAATGAGAAGTAAACCGAGTGCATTTTTTGGACTGAGGTTCACTTTTAATGTGTATGTATAATACAATACAGATATATAAAAATACACTCCAAAAATAGAGTCCTTGAAATGTACAAATGTACAAAATATTGATAAAAAACAATTATAATAATGGAGGCAACTTTACAATGTATACAATGTACGAAAAGATCTTTACTGCAGATACTACTATGGTTCTGCAGATTTATTTTTATTTTATTTTAACCTATGTGGCCTCACCTTGAGGTTGGCAAATCTGTCTATCACTTTTGGTGGTCAAGTCTCTCAAGCAGTTTAACAGTTTCTGTTGTGCCTGTCACTGTTCCCCTCTCTGTTTCCTTACCTGGTTCTTCCTGACCTTGTACTTTCTCCTCATGTTCCCCTCTTTCCTCTCTCCCTCTTTGGACTCACAATCATACACAAATAGATTATATTCAATTAGATAAAAAAAAAATTACATTAATATGAAAAAAAATATTATTAAGATCACTAATAAAAAAGTCCTATCTCCGTGTACTTTCAACCAAAAGGCAAATAACCAAACCACATGAACATCTAATAAAATATCTAAATATTGAAACACTGATCCAACATTATTCTTGATTGACGGATCATTTGTTCTTACACGTTTACCTGAATGTGGCTCCTGGGTTTAATATAGGCACATATGACAAAATAAGCAGCTTCTCTCATTCTATTTCAAACAGGACAGTGGCAACAACAGTAGGCTAAAACAATTTTAAGTTTTAGATTTTAAATAGGCTGTATAAATTTCAATGGGAGCAACAGGGCTGTCAGAGCAGGACGGATTGTAGGGTAGCAAATATCGTGGGAAAACACATGGGGTGGCTGTAGCTCAGGTGGCAGAGCAGGTCAGCCACTAATCAGAAGGTGGTTCGATCCCAGGCTGCCTCCTGGCTGCATGCCAAATATCCTTGGGCAAGATACTAACTCCATGTCTGCCTACTGGTGGTGGTCAGAGGGCCCGGTGGCGCCAGTGTCCGGCAGCCTCGCCTGTCAGTGCGCCCCAGGGCAGCTGTGGCTACAATGTAGCTTACCATTGCCAGTGTGTGAATGTGTGGGTGAATGACTGAATGTAGTGTAAAGCGCTTTGGGGTCCTTAGGGACTAGTAAAGCGCTATACAAATGCAGGCCATTTTTTTTACCATGTTTAGGTTACCTGGTTGTAATGTTTTTCAGCTAAAAAGAAACATGGTGTGACTCCTACCTAACTATATAAAGAGTAACTGAAGGTTAAATGCAGCTAATATGTCCTGTTTTAAGCCAGGCACTTAAACCTCCGCTCTGCTATGTCTCAGCCAACATCCTCTGGCAGCACCGGCGCTAGAGCCAGAGCAGGGGAGAGCCGAACTGGAACAAACCATTTTGGGAGAGGGGGGGGGGGGATATCTATACTTTTGTTGTTAAAATGTTACGTCTCAACCAAGTACTGTCTGCTTTTATATTTTTAGTAGTGTGTCACACAAACAGCAAATATTGTCAGAAAGGTAAGACATCTTTGGGGGTGCTTTGATTCATTTTGGGGGTGCTGAAACATCCCCCCAAAATGGGCTAAAATCGCCCCTGCTATGACCGTACATCCTCATGATGGTTTGATCTTTTCAGGTTACAGCAGCTGATGAGGAACAACAAATGACATAATTCACCTGCATTTGCATTTATTTAAACAGAACTGGAAGAAAATGTGGGAATTTTGAAGTGCACAGAAGAGCCACACAGCTCTGCAGTGTATCACAGAATGGGCGGGGACACAGAAACACTGACTTTTCAGCATAACTGTTATTAGCAGCACATTAGCAGCCCCATGCATATGCACATTGACATTTTATTTTAGTCGTTTTTATTTTATTTTGTGTGATTACGGTGCCAGCGTTACCTATAAACTATGCAAAGTGGTTACAACTCTTGCATTGTGCATACTGCTTGTTGGTGTATAATTACACCCTTTGCAATACCTACACTTAACACACAAAGCATACAATGCAAACACCCTGGGCCAGCACTGAGTGATGTGACTCCGTCACTTCCCTGCTGCCCTGTTATGTTTCAGGTTTCGTGCTTTGCAAGCTACTGGATTTCCTTTGTGATCAGTTAACTATGTATCTATGCCCATGTGGCGCACATGGCGCACACTGACATATGCGCACCGATTACCGACTAACTGGATAATCCCATTACCAGACACATAATTACAGAGTCTACAGCTGCGAGCAGTGACCGTGAATATGAATATGAGGGCAGAGGTCACGCCGATCGGGCCACAGACGTGCATACGACTGCAGTATCGTTCTGTCTGGTCATCTGATTGCTGTGACTGAAGGGTGTCGGCTCCTTTAAGAAAACGGAACTGAAGCCTCGGCTTTTGACGCTGCTCAGGATGTGGGCAGGAAACGCCATGCAAGAGCAGTGAAGCGATCACGCTTCACGGCCGCCGTTGCACAATACAGCGCTATCAAAAATGTGTCTTAATTGAGCCCGCTGATGCCCAGGAGCGGCCATTCTCCCCGGATCCGTGCTCCGCGGCCCTTACAGCGCACGAGAGGGCGATTTGCCGGCGTGGGATTTGAATCCTATCCGAGCCAGAGGGCAGCCTTCTCAGCCTGCTCGGCTTGAAAACATCGGGGCTGGCCAGCGGGTGGCAGAGAGAGGAGGCTTCGTCGCGGAAAAGGAGGTGTCTGCCTTTTCTTTTTTAAGAATATATATACATATACCTCTCCGCGGCCATGAGGGAGTACAAAGTGGTTGTTTTGGGGTCGGGCGGAGTCGGCAAATCCGCGCTCACGGTCCAGTTCGTGACGGGCTCCTTCATCGAAAAGTACGACCCCACCATAGAGGATTTCTACAGGAAGGAGATCGAGGTGGACTCGTCCCCGTCGGTGCTGGAGATCCTGGACACGGCGGGGACCGAGCAGTTCGCCTCCATGCGAGACCTGTACATCAAGAACGGCCAGGGCTTTATTCTGGTCTACAGCCTGGTGAACCAGCAGAGCTTTCAGGACATCAAGCCCATGAGAGACCAGATCATCCGAGTAAAGAGGTACGAGAGGGTACCCATGATCCTGGTGGGAAACAAGGTGGACCTGGAGGGGGAGAGAGAGGTGTCTTCCGGGGAGGGCAAGGCTCTGGCCCAAGAGTGGAACTGCCCGTTTATGGAAACTTCAGCCAAAAATAAAGGATCAGTCGACGAACTGTTTGCAGAGATAGTCAGACAGATGAACTATACAAATGTCCCCAGCGGTGGAGACAAGTGCTGTTCATGTGTCGTGCTCTAAAAGACAAACAAACAAACAAACAAACAAACAGAAACTGTGCATCCGGGCTGTTTGAGCTTTCAAAGTTGTCCTGCAGGCTTTCTTTTTTGTTTTGTTTTTGCAAAAGTATTCTCTCTCCTCACACTGTTGTCTTATTGTTGCACACAAACGCACACAGACACACACACAAAATCCACGACAACAATCAAATATGTATCATATTCTGGAAAAGTGTTTACATGAAAAAGTACTTGAATGTTTGGGGATTTTTTTTTATAGCTTTGTATATGACACTTCTCTGGAAATGTGCCTCAGTGGGGATGTCTTATTGTGAAACCTAAGAGACACGTGATTTCTGGTTAATTTTGTGTTTTTTTTTTCTTCTTTTCAGTTGTACTGTTTATATCTTCTGGGCTGGGGTCTTCTGTCTTGGAGACTGGTTGTTCTTGTGTTTTGGGGCTACTACACCAAATCCCTAGGCTTAAATGGGATTGTTTACCTTTAGGGTCTTTTGGTTTTTTGGAAGGCCTGAAAGTGTAAAGAAAAAAAAATACAAATCTGATTAAATTATCAGTCACCGCTCAAGCCTTGGACAGGTTGCTCGAATCAATGTCACGTTATCTCTCCAGACAGTAAAGCGTGATCCCAGAGGCACAGACCCACCCGCTAATACTGAAGCCGTGGACTGTGGTGGAGTTCTTTTGCCAGCAATTTTTTATTTGTTTTCTCCCCGCCCCCCCTTGTCTCTGGTTTGGTGAAAGTGGATTTATCGTGGAACTTGCACTTAGCTGACGGTGTCCCTCCCCAGTGTGCACAAACGAGGACCTTAGTGCATTGCTGTCGCTGCATGGGGGACGCCGTGACCCCGTGTCAAGTGCCTTCCTAAGAAATCTGTGACTGTGCCAACTCATGAGCCCTACTTCCTCTGCAGTGAGTCATGATGGCAATCAGAACTTTTCTAGCAGTTTTCAATTTACAGTCTAGTTTCACTTGTGCTGAGAATGGGAGGCGCTTCTTCCTACTTGACTGTAAGGAAGCTTCGCTTGTCCTCGACCTGCTGTCCAAAGGGTCAGATTCAGGCCGTTTCTTGAGGTACTACTCCAAGAAGAACAACAGAATAACTTTACCTACTGCAATTCTGGTTCAGTGAATGGAAGCCATGTCTGTATGTATTATCTAGCTGTTTTGTTTAGTTTTTTTTCCCTTTCTAAAATGTGACATTCTTTGACTTACCATAATTGTATTTCTCTCTTTGGACAAATCTGCCAATCCAGCTGTCAGTTTGGAAGACTTGTAATACAAAACTGATTTTACGTAACGCTGTGTGCTGTGCCCGTCTGTGCTGAGGATATGTATATGCGTTATACTTTTGGGGTGTTTTCAATTTGACTCTCACTGTAAACAACTTTAGGGCTGAAACAGGTAGTTGATTAATCCATAAGCAACCGACTGATAATCACAAATCACTGATAACATATGAACTGTGTAGTGGTGCACGGAAATGGGTATAGGATGAGCAGTAAAATAAATAAGAACATGATGCTATGATTTGCTAATCATTTAAAAAAAAATGTAAATTAAAAGTAAAGCAAAGACAAGTGAAACAGAATTTGAATTTTATGTGGATAAAGCAATAATTTTCCACTTGGAATTTGATGCCAGCTGGTTACAAAAAAGTTGTGACTGTGTTGCATCACCTCTTTCTTGTATTTTTTTCTTTTTCTTTTTTAACACTTTTAAGTGTTTGGCAACCAGAGAAGACAAAATGTTTCATCGTGCTTGCTTGATATGAGAATTAAGCAGTTAAGTGCCAACTTTGTCATATATTATTTTATATGCTGCCAGATGTTTTGTCTGGACTAAAGGAAGGCCAGGTTTGGCATCCATACTCCTACCACAATCACTGGTGATGGATTTCAGAACATGTTTCTGAGCTCACGCGGTCGCTTCTGCTGCAGAATGTTCTGTATTAAAATGCAGTGCCTCCTGCGGGCCTGAAAATAACAGCCATTCAATAATTGTTTCCAACACTGACGCACGTGCAGACGTTTCTTTTTTTTCCAGTTTCTATCACTTAACTAACACACACACACACACACACACACACACACACACACACACACACACACACACACACATATATATACGTATAATTATGTGCAACATTTTAGAGCTTGTCTTTGTACTATTTGCACATATAACAGTGTTTAAATGATTTGCAAATGAGTGCATTGTGCTTTTATTTACATTTTACAGCAATTTGAAAAGGAACTCGCAGTGACCGTGGGATTCAGTGGGATGTGCAAAGGGGATATCTTTCAGTTTTGTTGCTTTGTGTTGGTCACACAAAGCAAGTGATTTAAGGATGTCAGTGAATCTGTCGAGCATATTTTTCAGTGCTTTTGGATTTTTATACATATCAATAAAATATTGATTTACAGTATAAACAATCATTGGCTGCACCTCTTAAGCTTTTCTACTATTATTTTCCATGTTAAACAACTGTAACCTTTCTTTGTATTTATACAATGTGTGATTATGTATTTTATTAGGTACACTTTACAAGGATTAGGATGGGCCCTCTTTTACTTTCAGAACAGCTTTAATTCTCCATGGCAAAAAACTTCTCGAACCATTGCTCCGAGATGGTCCATGTTGACATGAGAGCATCACACAGTTGCTGCAGATTTGTCGGCTGCACATCAATATTGTGGATCTCTTGTTCGGAAGACAGTGAGCACTTTTTGTGTCAGTATCCAACCTAAATCAACCGTACATGCTCAAGACTGACATTTGGTAAGTCTTTCTCAGTCTGCCCAATGAGCTGTTGTAATAAGTGTCCAGAAACCACAAAGCTTCATGGTCTAATTAGGAAAACAAATTTGAGAATGTGACTGCACTATTCAGGTTCTATTGAAAGAAAATGTTCCCTTTTGTAAAAATACTTACTGTCCGCTGTTGCTGCCTCTGTCATCAGAATCTGGGCCACTAAAGCATTTACTTATAATTCACAAAATGCAGTCCTGTAGTTCTTCTGAAGTTTACGAACAGTTCATGTTCATCTCAGTGATTATTTATAAATAAGTGGTTCATGTCTTTTTAAATAATGACTGTAAAAATGTTGCTTTAAAATGAGTTATGACTCAATTCAGCCAATCAGAACAGGAACACAAAAGAATGTGAACTTACTGTAAAAATGGAAACTAAGATCAATCTGATAATAATTTCATCAGGTTTTTCTATATTCACTTTTTTATATTAAAAGAACAACACAAAAATCAGTCCAAGGTGAGGAGTCAGACTGATTTAGTGTAATTCCTTGCATCACTACTAAGTGCTTTTCTTACACATATTTAACTCTCTTATTTCTTTCATATGCGTAAAATACTCCAGCTAAAGCCCCTCACGGCCTGTTAGAGGGACTTCATTAGTATGTATTATATAAGTAAAAGCTTCATACTTCTATATGTCTAATGGAAGCAGACATTTTACTCACTTTCATTTATGTAAAAGCTGGAGTTTAACTCTTCAGCTGGAAATCACTGTATAAAATAAGTACTCAATGTTAAGTGAATCCAAGGGGTCACAGTCATCTTGGTTTGTAAGCACTTATAAAACAAGCAGCGTATGTACAGCTGTTGAAGAGTTTTCCTCAGAACAACTCCAATATTTTAAAGGCCCAACATGGTCATATTGTTCCACATGTTATGTAAATGTGCAAAATTAAAGACCAGTGTGTATGGATGGCAGATGGCTGCCCCTCCCTGAGCCTGGTTCTGCTGGAGGCTTCTTCCTGTTAAAAGGTACTGTTTCCTTCCCAGCTTGCTCATAGGGGGTCATATTATTGTTGGGGTTTTCTTGTATTATTGCAGGGTCTTTAAGCTACAGTATAAAGCACCTTACAAATAAGTGCACCAATCCCAGTTATAACAATATGCTGTGTACACACTGATCAGTGGTTATGGTAAAACCTCAGATGATGAAGTAACGAGTTAACACGGGGCAGATTTTAGTGGCGTTACAATGGGAGAATCAGTCTGAGGTGTTTTCCCATCTTGCCATAATTCTCAGATTAGTTACACACCTGCAGGGATTTAGTCACATGACCTGGCAGGTTTATCAGTCTGGTGGACTATACAATCCACTATGCATAAATGCCTGAAACAGAAACTTGACAATGCTGCAAATACAGGTTGCCACAGTCAAATCACATTTGTTTTTGCTTATCTGACTGTGTATAAATTATATAAAGCTAAAATAACAAATACACTGTTCCAGCTGTTGAAGTACAACCCAGAGCTGGAGGTTTGCCTAAACCCTGACACCATTTCTTACTGCTGTTGCACAAGCACACTCTTCATCCTCAATTTCACAAGCTGCCTGGCAAAGTAAAATAAATGTAGTACATGCAAGCTCACTTTATCTCCTGCAAGTTCTACAGCTGAAGGTTATGAGCTGACACATATGTTGGGCTTTTTTTTGGCATGTAGAATGACAGGAAGGGTGGATGAACTGTTGCTTCCTGTGCAGATTCACCTCAGATCTATGAAATGCTGAAAAAGGCAATCAGTTCCTTTTTGTTATTTAGAAATAGTAGCTTATTGTCACACTCTGTTCCCCCCTAGGTGCACACAAAGCACACACAGGGCATGACCTCAGTTTTGTAATGTTCCAAGAAATATGTTTTACATCATTATCAAACCAAACCAAAATAGAGAAGTAAGCAGAGTAAAGGGCTGGGGCATGGGTGGAAACATTGCACTTGTGTGACTGGGGTGCCTGAATTGTGCAGTGCTTTCTGTGATTTGATATGAGAAGAAGTTGGTACGATCATATGACACCAATTTGCTGTTATCGTGGTTGGTTATCGGTAAGCTGTTTGGAAACACTCAGCTGGATCAATTAAACCACTGCAAACACTCCTTCCTGGAAACACTGCAAATACCTCACAGTATCTGAATGAAGGGCTATAATGTCTGTATTATTGTTAAACCACTGAATCACATAAACTTGAATCACTGTGACAAATGAGACACAGACACACACTTTCAGAGTGAGCCCAGTTAGTTTGCTTTCATGTCTTCTCCTGTTTTTCAATGGTATTCTGTTTAGTGTTTTTATGGATAGCTTACAGTGACAACAGTTCTCACATTTCAGCATAAATATTAAAGAAAATACAATTTTATATCTTCATGTCCTGAACTTTAATTTCGATTTTTTTTTTGCATGTTAGGATTGATTGTGAAGTATTCACAGCTCTTCACTTGTTCTACATTTTGTCATTTTACAGACTTATTCCAAAACTGATTAAATTCATTTTTCCCATCAAAATTCTACACATAAACCCCCAAAAACAGGTTTGCTTTCATTTCTTGCAAGTTTATTAAAAGTATACATGTACATAACTATTCACACTCAAAATTGAGCTGAGGTGCATCCTGTTTCCAATGATCACTTGTGAGATGTGTCTACAACTTGACTGGAGACTATCTGTGGTAAATTCAGTTGATTGGACATGATTTGGAAAGGCACACACCTGTTTATATAGGGGCCCGCAGTTCACAGTGCATGTCAGATCACAAACTACTCCAAGGAATTGTCTGTAGACCTCCGAGGCAGGATTTTATTGATGCACAGATCTGGGGAAGAGTACAGAAAACATTCTACAGCATGACCATGAGAAACAAAATTCTCTGGTCTGATGAAACAAAGACTGAGCTATTTAGCCTGAATGCCAGAAAGCAGCTAGAGTCAAAAGTCATATCTAGAAGAAGCCATGCACTACTCATCTCGTGGCCAATACCATAACTGCAGCGATGCATGGTGCTGGCAGCATCACGATGTGCTGTTTGGTTTTCAGGAGCAGGAACTGAGAGACTAGTCAAGGTAGAGCAAAGGATTAGTGGAGCAATGTACAGAGACATCTTTGATGACAACCTGCTCCAGAGTTCTCTGGATCTCGAAGGTTCATCTTCCAACAGGAGAACAACAACATGTACTTGTGCGGACCAATTAGATCCCAGACTTAAACGCTATTGAACATCTCTGGAGAGCTCTAAAAATCGTCCATCCAACCTGATGGAGCTTGAATAATTCTGCAAAGAAGGAGAAGCTGCCCAATAATAGGTGTGCCCAGCTTGCAGCATCATACTCAGAAAGACTTGAGGCAGTATAATTGCTGCCAAAAGTGCTTAAACAAATTATTGAGCAAAGGCTGTAAATACTTATGAAAATGTTCTTTTTTTGTTTTTATATTTTTAATAAATTTGCAAGAATTCAAGAAAACATTTCTCATGTTGTCGTTTTGGGGTATTTTGT